AGGTGGCGGCCTCCGGATTCGTCCCGCCCCCCGTTCCTCCTGGCTGTCCCCGCCCCTCGCTCTGTTTTCCACCAGCTGCCAGTCCAGCGGGCCTGCCGCCTCCACCGCCCAGTCCTTGCTCAGGTGTCACTGTTGCTGGCAGGCCAGGATTAGGAAAGGAGAATGGGCAGGGGGTGGTGGCTGGGAGGAGAGGGGCTCTACCATGCCACCCCCACCCCCCCCACTTGGCTTCCTACCCTGGAATCCGCATACACCCCCGCGCCTCCTTGGCACCCGCGCCTTGGCGACTGGGTTAAGCTGCAGTGTGAGTAGCCAAGAACGGACGGTGTCTCCGGGTGTGTGCGTGGCCTGCGAGAGGGCACGGAGAAGGCGGGGAGAGGAGCGAAGCGGGTGGGGGCAACCGAGAGAGGGCGGAGGAAGGAAGAGCGCGAGGAGCTTGGGGCCCACGGCGCAGCTGCTGTCGCTGCCGCAGCTGTCCAGGGAGAATCGCCAAAACTACGACAAATAAACAACTTACCTTGCGGAGATGGGCTCCGCCTGTGATGGGGTGTACGGTTGTATTTTGTAGTGGGCTTTTGTGTTGGCGGTATGGTGGCTGTTACTGTTTCCCACCCATGCATGCACACCTTAAGAGGAGGGGTCCCCTGTCAAAAGTCGTGGACCAGGGACCTGGCTGAGTGTGTCTGGCGCTGCGGGACACAGGACCAGGCTTTCCTGGGAGGGTGGGGACAGGAGTCCAAGCGACCCCGGGCGATTCAGCCATCCTAGGCTGCCCTGTTGCACTCTATGGAGAAATGTGGGAGCGGGAGAAACGTGGAAGTCGCCTTTTGACTGTTCACACAAGGACACTCAGCCACTGTTTGGGACAGGCAACACCAAATCTGCCTCTCATCCACTTGGTACTCTGGATGTCCGCAGGACCTTGGAGCTGTAGGCAGTTGCCCGCCCTGGTATCTCAGGTTGGAAGGAAAGTTAAGGCGAGAATGCTAGACGCTGGGGGGCAGAGTGTTAGTAGCAGAAATGCTCCTTTCAGACCAGAGGAATCTTAGAAGTGGTTCTCCCTCTGCCAGGTGTCGTCTCAGCCTCTCCTCGATCAACCTCAGCTCCAAGGACCCTCAAGAAAGTTGGAATTCTGGAGGGAATTATGAAGAAAGTTAAACAAGTTTTTCACCCTCAGTCCTTCCTGTTTTATTTGCAAATTCCAAATGGGTTTTTCCTATTTCCTGAATTGAACTACAGACCCAATAAATGGGCTAGAAAAAGGTTTAGGAAGGCAGGAGATGGAGCCAGCAGAACTGTTTTGACGACAGGGATTAGATCAAGCTCAAACTTGAAAACTAAGTTTTAATAACTTATTTTTCGGGCTGGTGGTGCTGGAACACAAGGGGTAGTATGAGCTGCGAGAAGTAGGAACACACACTAGAAAGTAGTCAGCCTCCAAGCTAAGGGACAGGATATGAGGTGTGTCCCACCAGCAAAAAGAGGATGCCATGGGCCCAAAGGGTGAGATTCTGCTGGCCAGTTTACAACCCCAGAATTGTATGTGGTAATTAGGCAGACAATTTATTCAATAAGTATGTATTGTGCTCCTTTTATTCATATGTCAGACACTGTGGTAGGTAATTTATGACTCTGCATGTAGGGTTATGGTGCTTTAAAAATGGTCCTCTCTGTCAGTAAAGCGTAGAGTCCAGCATAGCTTTCAGAAAACATAAAATCATGTGCTCCTAGAGGTCACCATAATCTCCTCAGAAAGGGTTTGTTGCAAACAGCCTCCTGGACACAAGCAGAGCTAGTTGCTGAGGCAGATTTGGGAAGTTGGTCCCAGGCCAGATGGCACACAGAGAGGGAAGGATGCCAAGACCTGTGGGTGAAGAGGGCCTGCTTCAGGAAAGACCAGGAAACCATGTCCAGGGATGCTCACTTCCAAGGGCAAAACATTCTCACACACATGTGGCAAACAGATATAGTTCCCACTGTTATTTGGACTTAACTTTCTCCAAATACAGGAAAATGCCATTGAACCAACATCAGAAGGCTTAGAATGTCATCAGCATAGAGAAGTTTTATGATAGAGATAGGAAATAAAGGCACACCTTTCAGTCACACCCTTCAGTCCGCTACAGGTCTAGGGCACCTCCTAGCTGAGGTATGTGTGGGAAAAAAAAAAGTTATGAATCATAATCACTTCACAACATATCTTATTATCATCAGGCATTTTTAAAGCATGTGTATAGTTCCACAACTGTTGCAACATAGACACTTCTTAAACAAATTGGACCCTGCTCCAAAGAAAACTAACAGCAGCTTAATAACTGGGGACTAGTTAATATCCATAAACTTGGCTTACTGAACCTGATAGCCAAATTATCTTTTTTACTCAGATATTCATTTAGACGTCCAACTGTCTGCAACTGCCATTCTTTTTTTTTTAATCCTGTTAGACTGTCCGAGCTATTCTTGATTATATTACCACTTCATAGAATTACCTTACCTTTGGCATTTACATTTTCAAAAAGTTATTTCAATTTCCATGAGCTGACTTTGGAAATGTCCTCTGCTTGCGAAGAAAAAATTAAGAAAATAAAAAGTTAACCCCCCCCCAAAAAAAATGCACTTTCCTTTCCGTAATCTATCTCTCTAGCATCTGCCCAGCTAGGGAGTCCATTTCCCAGCCTGACCCTGGATCCAGGCTAAAGTGTTCTGTCACTTGCTGGCCAAGGTAGTTAAGGAACAGATACACATTCTCCAGTCTATCAGCTCCCATCCTTTAGTTGCATACAGAGGCTTCTAAGACTCAGGGGCCCACAGAACATCATGTGGTTAGAGCTGAGTCTTTAACTAAAGGAATGCCGTTACCTATGCAGAAAATCTGCATTATACTTTACCTTATAAAGAAATAATCTTCTGTTGAGATATTCCACTATTTGAAGATATGTTTGTTAGGGTAGGTAGTAGTACTATATCAACATACAAAACTCATTTATTTTATTAACTGGAAGAATAAAATCCTTAGTTAAATCCCAAAGGCTTGTGTAACTGTTATATAATAGAACAACCCAAAGACTAAAAATATTCCCTCTTTTAATACATGAACATCAAATCTTAATTTTCTGTGAATGAATTATTCATTTACCAGTTGTGTTTTGAACACCTGTTCTGTACAAGGTATGATGTTAGATGATGCATAAAAATATAGAATGAAGAATGATTCAACGATTTTGTTTCTCCACTCAAGGATCTCAAAGTCTTACTTTATAACTGTTACATACATATTATCTTTACAAACAATTAAGCATAAGAAGCTGCTTTCTCTTGCTATTGGAGAAAACAAACTAGTTTGCTATTAGTTTCATCAAAAATAATAATAAAGATAAATATGAGGGAAAGTAATGTGTACTTGGAATCATGTGCATTTAAATGCTTTATACAGTTTGGATGCAAATTATAGGAAATGAAAAATATTTTGGTTTGCTTACTAAGTGATCTGCTATATCCAGAGAAAAAAAGAACGAAGAAAAGAGGAAAGAAAGACATTGTTTTTTATATCTTATTTTGAGAATAACTTTTAAAATATTGGACTTTGATTCTGGGGTGGATTTACTATCATTTGGATATTAGACTTGAATAATAACTTCTGGACATAGCTCTTCTGAGTTAGATATCAGTATGTTCTATCTACATTCTCACTTAAGATGGTGGGATACAAAGTTGAAGGATCTGTAAATAGACAGTTAGGCCTGGAACAGCCATGAATGTGTGTGAATTTGATGTATGTTCTTAAATCAAGTTCCCACACCATTCCCTTCTATTTGTATGGAGTTCTTTCTTGTTTACTTTAGATGCTCTATGAAATACACTAGTCTACATGGATTTTATTTGAGGTTCAAACTAAAAGGGCTTTATATTGTTGATCTTTTGGATTTGTCTTGAAATTTTCTTGAGCCTTGGTTTTGTCAGGAGGTAGTTTAATTCATTTAGACAATTCTGAACATTAAGCATTTTTATAGCAAGTATATATAGGAATACATATAATTTTTCCACTACGGATTAAATGAAAATCTTTGAAATTGTATACCAAGTTCAATATGGAGAAATACTTTACATAAAATTTGGCAAGAATATTTGATCAATGTTCATTTGGATTTAATAACCAAATATTCATTTTATTTATATTTGTATCCTCATTTCATATCCAAGTTCTTGGCACAATGTAGGTGCTCAACAAATTTTGTTGAATGAGTTTTAAAATAATGTGTTGGTATTCACAGTATGAGATAGATGTTAGGCTAAGTACCAGGGTCTCTATTCTCAAGGAGATATCAGTATAACCAAAACTCACAAACACACATATGAGAGAGAAGTGTCATTAACTCTTTCTCCTAGACAGTTTTAACTTTAATTTAATTCCAGACTTTGAAATTATGAATAGATTGTGCCAAGTCATAAATGTTTCCATTAATAAGAACTATACATTTGCCATTCTATTTTAAAAATCCAAGAAACAAATATGCTGTAAAATTTTATGTATTTTGGCTTTTCTAAACTCAAAAAATCAGAATATTTGACCTAAAATGAGCTGAAATTTACATTTGAAGTGCTTTGAGAACACTTCAATAATAATAGCAAAGAACTCACTAATCAAACTACAACAACATTTTAGGAGACTTGATAGATCAATTTAGAAGAACTTTTTCTGGTCCTTTAAAGGCAGATTTACATATGTAAAACCAGTAAATAATTAGAAATGAGTTTTATCCTTTAAAGCAGGCAGAGATTTACCCTTACTAGAACAACAGTGTGCCCATTACTGATTAAAAGTTCATGAATTTGCAAGTAAATATTCTGTTCTTAATTTGAATTTGGCACTCAGACCAGCCACCCTTTCCTTTGGGTGGCATATATTCAATAGATAGTTATTGAATATCTATACCTATCAATCACTGTGAATGTAATATGGAAAAAACAAAGTCTCTACCCTCATAAAACTTACATTCTAGTCAAGAGAGACAGATGATAGCACTTGCACATACACACAGGCCATGGCAGTGGACTGAGGGATGACCATGATCATAACACACAGTGGCTAGGGCACTGAAGGAAGTGACACAAACTGCTGTGTAGCCATGGCATACCGAGAAGGGGGTCTCTGAAAAGCTGATATTTGAACAGAGATTCTCAAGATGATGGAGATGGCTCTGCAGCCACACAGAAGAAGTGAGTTCCAGACAAAAAGGAACTATAGATGCAAAGGCCCTGAGGGCAGAGTCTGGTTGGCATCTTTACCAACTGTCAAAGGAGGCCAGTGTTGCTGGAGTGAACTGCAAAGAGTGGTATAAGGTAAAGTCAGAGAGATCGTGTAAACTCAGCTTATATAAAGCCTTTATATAACAGGAAAGACTCTGAATTTTATTTTAGATGAAATGAGAGGGATTTTATCATCTAGGCTTAGAGAAAACAAGCAAAGTGATGGAAAATGAGAAAGGGTGGAAGTGGAAAGACCAGTTGAGAGACTCTTACTAGAAATAAGTTGGTTAGTATTATATAGTTTAGAAGGGAGTGGTAAGAAGCATCCATTTTCAAGTATATGTAAAATGTTGACCTAAGAGGATTTGCTGATGGATTGAATACAGGA